TATATTGACAAAATAAAAATTTAACAAAAAAATAAATAAATAAATAAATAAATAAATAAATTATATAATGTATGCAATTTTATTTTAAGAGGAAGAATTTATGAATACGTATCAAATCAGTAAACACTGGGTATTTTTTCTCTCAGAATCTTAGCATTTTTCATTGTGTAAAGCAAATATAAACATTTCTAGGAACTGTGTGGTATGAGAATGCAGGAAGAAAAAGATAAAAAGTTATCTTAAAATAGTCATCCTATTTGACGTCTCAAAAAATATTGATAATTAAAGCATTTTAATTTCTGTCCAAGTCGATGGTATTATTTAAATATAGTATTATATCCTATCCTTTATGTTATACTTGATTATACTTTGCTTAGCAGAGCAAAGTTTTGTTTTTCAGAAATTTGATTTAAATGTCTTTAATATAATAAGTTATGAAAAATTACATTAACAAAAAATCCTAGAAAGTTAAAATTCATTAACAAGGAACTATACCTGAAAATGAAAGAATGTCCTTTTTCAAATATTTATTTGGAGCAAAAATAAAATATTTGTGTAGTTGTGACATGATGATTATTAATGTTTAAATAGTTATTTTATCAAATTTGTCTTTCTAAAATAAAAACTGTTTTTCACTTTCATAAAATAAAATATACAACAGAAATATATCTAAAAACATTTGTATGTAAATATAGTTATTAAAGTTCCTTAATAAAATAAAATTATGATATTTTGTTGTTGTTGTTCCTTCAAAGATTTCACAAGTTTGAATATTTGAAAGGACTCACAAGATTCCACAGAGCATACTCACATAATAAGGCTTTTATTTAAAGGCAGAGGATATTGTGCAGCAAGAAAAAGAGCATAGGCAATCACAGGGCGTCTAAATAACATCCAGGCATAAGCGTCCTAGGGTCTTTATTCAAACACAGGCGTATTTTGTCTCCAGATTGGACCACCAAGATCTATGAAGTGAATCTTGGCTTCAGGAGAGCTCCAAGCAGAAGTTTCCTTCAGTGTCTTTTTTTCCTCCCCAATCACATCCCCTAGTCTAGCTTTCTAGTTACGCCAGGTCAAAATCATCAGTAAACAAATCAGTTTTGAGAGTTGTCAGGAGAGATTCAGACTTTTAAACAGTACATTCATAAATCTCACAGTTCATATATATGTATTGGCTAAGAGTGAAGGCCAGACATTCAGGCATCTCCAGAGCTTTCCAATCCAGCTGTAAATTAATGCTGTACTACACAGTTCCTGACAACTTAATCTAATAAAAAGCAAGATGGTGATGTTAGCTACATTTGTATAAAGTACAGTAAAATTTATAAAGCATTTTAACATGCATTAACTATTTGAACATTACGATAATTCTTTAAGCTATATGGAAAAATTGTTTTTATCACTATTTTATAGAAGCAGATATTGAGAGAGGTCGATTGGCCCAATTCACTTAGCCAGTTCAGACAGGCCTTCTGACTTTTATTCTAGAATTTTTTTCAACATTCATGCTAAAAGTAGATATAAAGAACTGTTTACTTGTTTTCTAACTACCCCATGGAACTATATAGGAATGAATGAGTATATATAAAACTACTACTTATTTTCCCCAAACAATGTAGTATTCGTGTTTTAGGGAATTTAATGTAATAACCTAAATGTTTTCAGAATATTTTGCCTTTTGATGACAAGACCAGTGCCTGATTCTTTTTTTCTTTTTACTTATGTACTGGGAGATTCTGTTTCAAAGTAATATGAAATAATTTATATTTGGAACAATTGTTTACAAAATTATTATTCTTGAATTTTCCACACATGAATATCAAATTGGGTGTGCAAGATCTAAGTAAAATATCAAGATATAGTTGTACCTCTGATGATTTCCCCCCCCTTTTCCTTTTGCCCTCTTTCATTCATTTATGGTGTATTTACTTGTCTCCTACATGCCAGGTACTGTGTTATCTCCTTAGGGTTTAAAAATTAATAAAATGTAATCCTTGCCTTTAATTATCTTACAATATTTACTTTTTTATAAACTCACAATTTCACAAGGGAGAATCTATGTAGTATTGCTTACAACACGGTGTGATCTGTTCATAATGTACAATGTATTATGCATTATAAGGACTGGGATTATAAGGTCTTTTGCCTAGGAGAATTTAGTGAAGACTTGAGATGGGGAGACTTGAAAGAGGTCAAAATTGAAGAATTTGTTAGAAAAAGCAGAAGACTAATTCACTCAGACATGTGAAACAAGAAACAAGGGTGTAATTAGAAAACAGAGAGTTGTTAGTCTGTTATAACATAAATTACATGGGGGAGTTGGCAAAAGATGAGACTCTTAAGCTGGATGATGACTAGCTTTATATGCTATGTATAGGAGTGTAGATTTTATGCCAAAAGAAGTGGGGAATCCAGAAATCATTTTTTAAACGGGATTTTATTAGTAGATAACTTTTTTAAAAAACAGATTAGATGCATTATAGAGAACAAATTAAAGAGACCAGCCGTGAAGAGATGAATATGGAATCTATTGGAATAGTTTGGGGAAGTGATGATGGGGCTAAAGGTTGAATAATAGAAATGGAAATAGAATATACATTTGAGAGACAATTTAGAATTAGACTCAGGAAAATTTAATATACTAAAATCTTTTTTTCTGTTTAAGAAAGCCTTATGTTATTGTTCTGAAATCATTTCCTTTGGGCAGTCAGGAAGATATTAAAACTTATTTGATTGTTAGAATGTTCAAAAAATTTGTCTTCTTTATCCTTTGTAACTACCGATTCTGAAGAAAGTAAGTATTATGTTATCATGGAACAAATGTTTTAATTAATTATATTACATGGTCACATAATACATACTTCTGATGTTTAAGGAATGATCACGGTATTAAAGCTTAGGTTCATTTTTACAGAAAAGGCCAATCAGCAATATTTTTCTAACTTTATCAATTCAAGAAATTATAGACATGATAAATATTCTACTTAGTGCACTGGAACTCTTGTTAGATAATTTATCAATATGAAAAAGTTCTTTTTCATAAAACATATTGAATTATTTGAGTATAAAATATAATTTATCCAAATAAAGTATTAATGACTCACACTTTGTACCTCTCCTCATTCAGGTATATTTTTTTCTCTTTACTCTCTTTCACATGTGTTCTATAATATTAAAGGAATCTTTCAGAATTTACCCCTTACATCCATTTTTAGGTAAATAAGAGTACTGATTTTATCAAATTTAGATTTCTTTTCTAATTTTTTATTCTTTATGGTCTATGAAAAAAATGTTTATTAATTTACTTTCTTTTTTAGGCAAGCCAAGGTAGATCTGAGAGTTGCAGCAACAAAAGTGGAAGAATTAGCTAAAGTGACTGCAGATCTTCAGGGACAAATGCAAATGAAGGTATTTTCCATTTCCAAAACAGTGGGAGGCCTATAGCTCAGTTTTCTATATATTTTATTATTAATTTATTTTGGACTACGTATTAAGGAGGGTTTTTAGAAGATGAATCAATTGTTTTATTGCCATTTCAATATAAAATATGAAAGTAGGAAGCTAAATTATAGTATTGGAAACAACTTTATGAAGAATTTTTTGTTTCCATTCACTTTAGCCTAATTCAGTAAAACATCATAATCATCCCTAAACACATCATTATTGAAATGCAAATTAATACAAAATCAACTTTTGGTTAATTGGCTATATGTAGATGGAAGAAAGAAGCATTTAATACTACATATTATGTTTTTTATTAAAATATTTATTGGTATAATAGATTCTGCTTCTTTTTATATGTGATAGGGAAATATTAGGAGGGTGTCAAGGAAAGGACAGGCTTTAGATTTAGATGGGTTTAATTATTAAAAATTCTAGCCCTGGTACTTACTAGCTGTGTAACTTTCTAAGCCATATTTCCTGATCTGTAAAAAGGTGACTATAGATTTCCAATAACAGTAGATTTGTTATTGGAAAAGTTACAAGAACCTTCCCATAGATAACCAATCAGATAACTAATCCACTCTTAAAAATAGGATAAATTTTTTAAAACACTGGAAAGCTCCCCAAAACAGAAAGATGTAAAAGAGGTAATAATTGTTAGTTTTTGGATTTCTGACCTGATGGTTCTCCCCAGTACAAACAGCTATGGCTTCAGAAAACAACAGTTTTATATGGCCTTAGGGTACCGAAGAACAAAGTTTAGGGCTGAAAAAGCAATTGCAAATTAAAGAGGAAATACTGGCAGCAAGAAAACCACACAAAAAAAATGGGACCCAAATTCTGAGTATAAATTCTTACCAAATCCATGCCTGACAGCTAAACTATGCATATGAGAGTTGAGGAGAGACCCTAAGGGAGTCCAGTAAAGAAGAGCTGAGAGAAATTGCTATTTTTTATAATTGACTACATTCCAGAAATGTGTGCAAATTAAGCAGCAGAAAACACAAGCCTTATTGTTTGAAGTGTCAGAGCACATAGCCCAAAGCTGGAAGAGCAGCTGGGAATTACAGGGGAATCTCTAGGAGCACAGAAACCATAAAGAGTGTTAACCCTACCTCTGCACAAATCTTGACTGATCCTGAAATTATGCAGGTGTAGGGGGTTCCCTAGGGACCTAGCTAAAAAAGTAATAGTGGGAAGTAGTAAGAACTAATAACAGATATTAGCCGCTGCATACTGTAGGGGGAACAAATTTCAACAGAGTTTAAGTCCAAGCAAGATAATTACCTACTTATACAAAAAAAATATAATAATAATAATAATAATAATAATAATAATAATAAGCTGTAATCCTCAAAAGAACAAAGCAATCCACCGTAATTGCAATGTATTATTTCCATTATCCAGTGTTCAACCAAAAATTACTAGACAAGAGTGTATGACACATACCTGTGGGATAGGAGGTGGAGGGAAGGCAGTCAATAGAAAATGACTCTCAGTGGACCCAGCAGTTGAATTCAGCAGGCAGAAGCTTCAAATCACCTATTATAGATATGTTCAATGAATTGAAGAAAATACATTTTAAAATTAGCTTAGAATTAGGACAAAATTAAGGAAGAAATAGAGAATTTTTATTGAGGACTAGAAAATAATTTTAAAAATAGAAATTCTAGAGCTTAGAAGTATAGCAAGTGAAATAAAAATTTCATTATATGAACTCAAAATAGATTAGAAAAGACAGAAGAAATGATCAGTGAACTTGAAGACAGAAAAATAGAAATTTCTCTATTCAAAGAATAGAGAGTTTAGAAGATTGGATAAAAATGAACAAGACCTCAAGGATCTGTGGGACAATGTGAAGCAATCCAACATAAGTGTAATTGGACTTGCAAAGGAAGGGGAAGGGGAGCAGAAAAAAAGTATTTAAATAAGTAATGGCTGAAAACTTACTAAATTTGGTGGAAAACATTAACAGTTCCAAGAATCTGCTGAATCCCAAAGCAGAATAAACACAGAGTCACCTCTAGACACATCATGACAATACTGATAGCCAAATATAAAGAGAAAACATAAAAGTAGCAACAGAAAAATGACCTGACCAGGATAACAATGATGAGATTAATGGCTTCGTTCTCATGAAGAGATTGTGAAAGCAGAAAGCATTGGAATAATGTATTTGAAGTGCTGAAGGAAAAAAGAATGCTCACTAAGAATTCTATATCCAATAAATCTATACTTCAAAAATGAAGGCAAATGAAGGCATTTTCAAACAAGCAAAAACAGAGAGAATTTGTCCCCAATAGACCAGCAGTTCAAAAAATTCTTAAGGAAGTTCTTTAGGTTGAAAGAAAATGACACCAGATGGCAACTCAGATATAGGAAAAAATATAAAACAACTGAAATAGTAAATATGAAATAATATATATACATATTTTTCTATTTCCTGGAGTGTTTCCCCTATGTTTTCTTTAGGGAGTTTTATTGTTTCAGGACATATATTTAATTCTTTAATCTATTTTGAGTTGATTTTGATATATGGTGAGAGGTATGAGTCTAGATTCATTCTCCTACATATGAATATCCAGTTTTCCCAGCACCATTTACTGAAGAGGCAGTCTCTTCCCCAGTGTGTGGTCTTGGAGACTTTGTCAAAGATCAGATGGCTGTAGGTGTGTGGGTTGATTTCTGGATTCTCTATTCTGTTCCACTGGTCTGTGTGTCTGTTTTTATGCCAGTACCATGCTGTTTTGGTTACTATCACTTTGTAGTATAGTTTAAAGTCAGGTAGTGTTATGCCCCCAGCTTTATTTATTTATTTAATTTTTTTTGCTCAGGATTGCTTTGGCTATTCATGGTCTTTTGTTCTTCTGTATGAATGTTAGGAATGTTTTTTCCATCTCTGAGAAAAATGTCATTGGAATTTTGATGGGGATTGCATTGAATTTGT